TGTTGGTGATTTTGCAGGGTGTTTTTTAGAATTTTAAAGAAATACCCTTCGACCCCTGTTTCTCTTCCGCTCGCATCCGGAACACACATGCGACCAAAGCCAATGCGACCAAAGCCAATGCGACGCACGAATCTCTTTCTCTCACGTCCTGTTGCTCTCTCGCTCCCTCCCCCCCACGCCTCACCCACTTTTCTCCCTCCCTCTTGCTCTCCCCATTCTCTCCCCCCTCACTTCCCTCCTCACAAGAATTTCCATCTTCACTCTGCTTTTGAACCGACTCAAAAAACCATCCTCACTCTCCCTAATCTCACCTCACCTCGTCTCCCCGCCCTCTCTACCCGCTTCCTTTCCTCCCTCCCCCCCGCCCCCGTCCCATCCATTTCACGCATATGCTGAGTTAGTTTTTTTAGAATTCTAAAAATCCTATTTCACGCATATGTCGCTTCAAGCTGCTGGCCAATGGCGAGTACAACAATCAGTGCCTTGCCGGGAAGACTTGGCTTGGTCGCCTCAAAACACAACCCTTTATTGTTTCTTATCCCCCACCCTCTCCCTACACACCCTCTCTTCCTTCACTTGTTCAGAACAGTGAAAGGTTTCGGGTATTTTTGAGAATTCTCAAAAACACCCTTTAAGGTTTACGAATTTCCCTGCGGCATGGGCTGGTTTGAGAAGGAGGACGTGCTATTCTCCTGACCATTAAGACCACTCAAGCGCCGCTCTTCAAGCTGCTGGCCAATGGCGGATACCAGCGGTGGCGGGTTGGGAAAAAATGTTTGCGTTGCCGTAAACCACGAATTTTGCTGCGTCTTTTTTCTCTTCACCTTCCCTCCCGTCCCATCCAGGTCACTCAAGCGCCGATTCAAGCTGCTGGCCAATGGCGAGTACAAGCGATGGCGGTCTGGCAAGAGGCACAACGCAAGCACCAAGGTGTGCTCCAGTCTTTCACACCATGGACTCGTAATTTATGCTGAGAATGAGTGTTTTCTCGACCCCATAAATAAGTGGCCGACAGGATGAGCGTTCTTTCTTTCTTTTTCTTTTTTTTCTTTTCTTTTTAATAATATATTCCCCCGTTTCACTGCTACTCTTGCTCTCCTGTCCCCCACTTCACCACTAACACTTGCTCCAATCTCCCCCAACGCAGACTAAAAAGCAGAGGAGGCAGCTGCGGCGTCCATCAGTGGTGCCTCCTGGGCTGAAGCAGCCCATGCGGTACCTTGGGTTCCGTAGATAGCATGTGGTGTGCGTGCCCTGCATGAAACCCTGTGCAACCTGTTGCGTTGAAAGAAGCAGAGGAGTTGTAGAGCTCGCAAGAAGCAGAGGAGGCAGCTGCGGTGTCCACCAGTGGTGCCTCCTGGGTTGAAACAGCCATGTGGTATATTGGTTTTAGTAGGTAACCTATAAGAGGCTTTAGTTCCCATTAATCCATGTATGGTAATGTAAGTTGTAACATCCTAGAAATCTTCCATAGCCATAAGATACTATGACACAACCCATTGAGTTGAAACATACTGTACGTAGGGATAGACACTTGCAGCGGGCATTTGTACGAGAATCTAGCCCATCAATTATAACATCCGTGCACTGGCAGAGCAGCAGCCCTACATTGCTTTGAGCCCCGTCGAGCCTTTTACAAATACTGATGGGCTATGTATATAAGGATCCTTCTGATGTACCTGTACGTACTTTGTACCGGACTGGGTTGTACAGTACGTATCGCTAACCACTACGACACCTCACAGAACACTCGATCTCCCTTTGACACGGATGCCCTTGTGCAGCACACACCTCACTCGGCCCTTCACAGGAGCTTCCCAGCAGCTTCCACCATCAGCAAGTGGAGCCCCACACACCACCACACACACTTTACTGTCACCCGTTCCTCTCGCACCCTCCTTGATATCAACCTTCCCTCTCGCCCCCTCCTTGCCTTCTCCCCCATCCCCAGACTTCCGTCTGACACCCTCCTTTCGACCTCCCTCCTCCCTCTTTTCTCTAACAACACCAATTCTTGCTCCTCCTGCTTCCCACCACTCATCCCTTCCTGCTTCTCCTCCCCGACCCGGCATGGTATCTCGTCCCACCTCCCCATCGCACGCTGCTCCCCTCCCTCCTCCCCTCCCTCCTTCCCTCACACCGTCACACACGGCACCTCGGTTCTTGACCCTCATGCCCTTGTGTTGTGCACACCTGAGCCGCCCTTCAATTGCAGCAGCCCTGCACACTCCTCCCTGTGAGAGGGGAGCCCCGCAGACCGTCACTGCTGCTCCACCTGACAGTTCACCAGGTGTTCTGTCAGGTGTTTTAGCCGCTGGCCTACCTGACTCCCTACATGCTGCTCTACCTGGTGATCTACCTGGGAGTTTCTCTGCTGCTCTCTCCTGCTTTCTAGCAGCAGGGGAAGAGGAACGAGGGGCAACAGCAGCATTGGCTGGAAGGGAAGGAGCTGCAGCAGCACCATGCGAACGAGCAGGAGCAGGAGTGGCAGCAGCACTAGCAGCGCTAGCACTGGCAGCAGTGGCAGCAGTGGCAGCAGTGACAGCAGTGATAGCTGTTATATCCGCCCCAACGGCAACAGGAGTGATGATTCGAGCAAGGGGAAGTGACGGGAAGGCGAGGGCGACTCGGCGGGAGAAGGAGGGCCCGACTTGGAGCTTAGTTAGAAGCCGGTCGTGGCGGCGGTGGTGGTTGTTGCACACGTTCCAGGAGTAGTCGAAGGACGAGAGGAGAAGCGTCTCAGTTGCTGCTGCGTCAGCCTTGGTTGAAGCCTGGATGAGGGGGGATTAGACAGATGTAGGGAAGAGGAGGGGAGGGGGGGTGAGGGGGAGGGTTAAGAGGCGGTTGTGGCAGCGGTGGTGGTTGCTGCACACACTCCAAGAGTTGTCGAAGGACGAGAGAAGAAGAGTCTCTGTTGCTGCTGCGTCAGCCCTGGTGGGAGACTGGTCGAGGGGGAGTTAGACAGATGCAGGGAAGAGGGGGGGGGGGGGGGTGTGTTAAGAGGTGGTCGTAACGGCGGTGGTGGTTGTTGCAGATGTTCCAAGAGTACTCGAAGGACGAAAGGGGAAGCGTCTCGGCTGCTGCTGCGTCAGCCTTAGTGGGCGCCTGGTCGAGGAGGGGTTAGAGCGATGTGAGGGGAAGGGGAGGTGGGGGAGGGGAGGGAGGAGGAGTGCGAAGTGAGTGAAAATATCGGTGAGGGGTCGAGAAGAGAGAAAAGGGCAGGAATAACAACAACCCTCCCCTCCCCCCCCTCTCCCCCAACAACAACTCTCAGAACAGAAGCCCCCACTCACAGAAGTCCTTCTGATGTTTGGCATGATCTTCCCCACGTACCCCTTGGAACATCGCCTTCACATGGGATCCTGACTGCCCATACTGCTGCATCCTACTCCGCACATTCTTCCCAACAACCCTCCCCCCTCTCCCCCTCTCCCCAAACAACAACTCTCAGAACAGAAGCCGCCACTTACAGCAGTCCATCGGAAGACCACGGCATAGTCCTCCCGAAAAACCTCTTCAAACATCGCCTTGAGATGCGATCCCGACTGCCCATACTGCTGCATCCTGGTCCGCACATTGTCCGAGTGCCCCACGTACACCACCCGGACCTGCGACCGGTGCAGCCGCCGCTGCCGCCGAACCACCTGGTTCGGAAGCAGCCCCAGCTCGTACACGCCCGGGCCAGTTTGGTCGGGAAGGTTTGCAATGCGGTACCGTGTGGTTCCTGGGACGCCTTGGGAATGGTTTGACCAATCGTCAGCGGCGGTTAGGAGCTGATGGATGCAGGAGGAAGTGGGGAAAGATAAGGGGTTGGCGTGGAACAGTTGGACGTGGAAAATTTACTAAGTGAGGAGGAATTGAACAGGAAGTGAGGTGAAAGTGATGGGGGTTGAGAGAGGTGGAAGAGACTGGGTTACAGGGCAACACGAGCTGTTACTGCATAGAGTTGAGCGTTTGCAAGCAACCCCACTGAACACTGGAAATGAGAGATTTGGCAGGTATGACTTAGCCGACAATAGCCACCAGCTACAACTATTTTGCAATCGATAGGGAGCAGTATTGTCTGTACCTTCCAGTCGGAGAAGAGCTCATCATGTGTCACGCGCCAGCACTTCTCCCTTAGCGGCTTCGGAACTGAATGGTTGGCGTCGACGGCAGCCTTCTTCTGAGACGTCTCAAGCAGCTTAGAAGCAGTATGCATGGCGGCTTCCTTCTTGATTTGAACGCTGCTGTGGGTGGTGCTCGCAGCCATGGCCACGTATTCGTCTGGAATGAGAACGACTCTGGAGTTTCGAGCTCTTAAAATGAAAACTACGCTGGAAACGGCGAGAATGATTCCGGACGCTCGGTCATCAAGTTTCCGGTTCGCGCGGGCACAGGAGCGCGAGAGCACATGACTCCAAGGGTGCCTTATTCGTCAACAACTCCGTGTCGGTGTTAGCGTTGATGAACGCTGTGGTACAGACTGTCGCGTCAATAGTGGGAGAAGGAGTGTCTTAGTTCCGAAACTAACACGTCAAGCCACTTCACAAGCCTGAGATAGAGTCTACTACCAAACTGTGTAGGAAGTACCGAACTGCATAGGAACTGCCGAAAGACACAGGTGTTTACAAACTGCAAGGTAGGAACAACCGAACTGCGCGGGAGGAGTTGCTGAAATGACCAGGCCGCGTGAAATTCGCCGAATATCTAGGCTGTGGGTAAGCCCAGTTTGCCTAGGATTTCTTATCTGCCATCAGAAGAAAGTAATACCATCAGCACAAGGACGTTGCAACGGTCCTTTCCATCGCCATCTGCTTTCTCGACCTTCGCAAACACCTCCAGCTCTTCGCCATCGTTTTCGCGGCACCTGCTTCCAGCCATGTCCTTCGGGGCATTTGTCCAACTAACCTCCCACAAAGTTCTTCGCGACCAATCAACATTCGCGAATGACATGCCCAAACCGAGATTGTGTACGCGTGAATGCCCAAACCGACATGTACGCGTGACAGCTGAGTTTCGCCAACGATGTTGCACTGTAGGCGTGGAATTTGGATCTCGCTACACGAAATCGTAGGCATAGAAGTTGTGTGGCTATGCAGGTTGGGTAGCAAAATCTCATCGTCATCCACGAAATGGTATCCACAAAGACGGGGTTTTTGGGTTGCGTAGCAACCCTATAAAATCGGTTTCACAATTCAGAGCATTAATACGAACAGTAAAAAAATTAAGAATTTAGTTAACTGTTCGGTGCAACTCCAAAATATGAAACAAATGTCCAAAGTGCTCCATCACGTCGATAAGTACGGCGGATGGAACAATTAGACCGCATGACACATTTCAACAAAATTTGATGTATAATCAAACATCCTGTAGGATTGCAAATGCCAAGAAACGAGTGCATATAGGCGCTAGTAGTGTTGCAGTAGAGATTGATAGGGTGCACGATGACAGCAGAGCTGCCCCGGACACGATGACAATCTCTAATTGCAACACCTAGCATATAAGCAGCACGCTCGAGGCAAACACAATCCAAATCCACCTTGTGCCAACCACCCCATCTCGTCGATAAATACGGTGGATGGAATGAACATGTATGTACGATAGGATTGTGACTGCTACGAAATGATTGCATATATGCATCAATGCTGCAACAGAGATTGATGGGGTGTGCGAGGACAACAGAGTTGCCCCAGGCACGATGACAACCTCTAATTGCAACACCTTGCATATAAGCAGCACGTCCGAAGCAGACACAATCCACGCCTTATCACATTTGCAGCCACACGCACTATGCACATAGAGACTAAGAGCAGCAGACACACCCCGAAACAGACAGTATTTATCAAACCCATGCACACCCCTCTCATGCAAACAATCAAGCAAACACATGCAGCATCGCAAATAGCCTAATAGTTGGAGTCCCCTATATCCAAATTAGAGAACAGTGATAACGTCGTGCAATCACAAATTTGTACCCGCATGATGTTCCAACAAGGAATAGAAATTGGTGTTGGAAGATGTTCTTTGTCTTGCAGCTGGAACAGACAGCGCGTGCTACATGACCTGCACAGTACACCAGTGAATTATGGAAACACAACATACGTTCAAAAGTGGACCACATAATTTGTTTATATACACTCATGGTGTTAGATATTGCGTTTGGGGTTTAAGGTTTAGTGCGGAAGTACTACATGGGATAGAAGGGAGGAAGAGAATAACAAAAGGGGAGGGAGAAAAACGGCAGTAAGGAGAAAATTATAGACTGAAATTGTGGGGACGCTGGCGATGACCTACGAGGTACCTAAGAATGAATGAAGGGATGGAAAGAGGAGAAGGAGGGGTAAAAAGGAGGGGGACACGCTAAAAACGAATATGTGGCATGAGCAAAATGCCATAGCAGACGGCGCCAGCACGCACGTCACCAGCACAGACCGGGCCAGCGCGGGCAGCGCCAGCTCGCACGGCATGGAATGCTATGCCCATACATGCATACAGCCACGCACGTTATGCACATACACGCATACAACTAGGCATGCTATGCCCATACACACGTACAGCCAGGCATGCTATGCCCATACACACATACACCCTGGCATGCTATGCCCATACATGCGTACAGCCAGGCACGTTATGCACATACACGCATACAACTAGGCATGCTATGCCCATACATGCATACAGCCAGGCACGTTATGCACATACACGCATACAAGTAGGCATGCTATGCCCATACACACATACAGCCAGGCATGCTATGCCCATACACACATACAGCTAGGCATGCCATCCCCATACACACATACAGCCATGCATACCATGCCCATACACACACACTGCTAGGCATGCTATGCCCATATACACTTACTGTCACGCATGCCATGCCCATACACACACACAGCCAGGCATGCCATGCCCATACACACCTACAGCCTGGCATGCTATGCCCATACATGCATACAGCCAGGCACGTCATGCACATACACGCATACAACTAGGCATGCTATGCCCATACACACTTACAGCCCTGCATTCTATGCCCATACATGCATACAGCCATGCATGCTACGCCCATACATGCATACAATACAACTAGGTATGCTATGCCCATACACACAAACAGCCAAGCATGCTATGCCCATACACACATACAGCTAGGCATGCCATCCCCATACACACATACAGCGAGGCATACCATGCCCATACACACGCACTGCTAGGCATGCTATGCCCATATACACATACCGTCACGCATGCCATGCCCATACACACACACAGCCAGGCATGCCATGCCCATACACGCATACAACTAGGCATGCTATGCCCATACACGCATACAGCCAGGCATTCTATGCCCATACATGCATACAGCCATACATGCATACAACTAGGTATGCTATGCCATACACACATACAGCTAGGCATGCCATCCCCATACACACATACAGCGAGGCATACCATGCCCATACACACACACAGCCAGGCATGCTATGCCCATATACACATACAGCCAGGCATGCTATGCCCATACACACAAACAGCCTGGCATGCTATGCCCATACATGCGTACAGCCAGGCACGTTATGCACTTACACGCATACAACTAGGCATGCTATGCCCATACACACATACAGCCAGGCATGGTATGCCCATACACACACACAGCCAGGCATGCTATGCCCATTTACACATACAGTTAGGCATGCCATGCCCATATACACATACAGTCAGGCATGCCATGCCCATACACACACACAGCCAGGCATGCCATGTCCATGCACATGCACCAGACAATGTTGATAAGGTTGCGGCACATCACGTTGCCCACTAAAGCTGGGTTGAATGCATTCACCTGAGGGGGTGAGCAGAGACACGGTAGGGACAGGCAAGGTAAGGAAAGGAGGAGGGTGTGGGGCGGAGAAAAGCCAAGCCACAGAAAGTCGCACCGAGTCACACTGCTGGCTGCTGCGAGGTTGAAAGCATTGACCTGAGAGGGTGAGGTGAGACGCGGTAGGGGCAGGATCGGGGAAGGAGGGAGGCGTGGGGCGGAGAGAGGAGATATGAGAGAGGAGAGAGGAGAGAGGAGAGAGGAGAGAGGAGAGAGGAGATAGGAGAGAGGAGATAAGAGAGAGGAGATAGGAGAGAGGAGATAGGAGAAAGGAGAGAGGAGTGGGAAGAGAGGAGAGAGGAGAGAGGAGAGAGGAGATACGAGAGAGGAGATAGGAGAGAGGAGAGAGGAGAGAGGAGAGAGGAGAGAAGAGAGAGCGCACGGCACCAGCGCGCACGGCGCCGGCAAGCACGGCGGCACGGCGCCAGCGCGCACGGCGCCAGCGCGTACGGCGCCAGCGCGCACGGCACCAGCGCGCACCGGCCCAGCACGCACGGCGCCAGCGCGCACCGTCCCAGCGCGCACGGCGCCAGCGCGGACAGCCAGCGCACGGCGCCAGAGCGCACCGGACCATCGAGGGCGGCGCCACCGCGGACAGCGCCAGCGCGCGCGGCGTTACCGCAGACGGCGCCAGCGCGCGCGGCACCAGGAGCACAGTGCCAATGTGCAAGGCGCCAAAGCGCACTGTGCCTCTAGCACGCCAGCACGTCGCAGCGCCATAACGTGGCAGAGAGCGTGGTAGGGAGCTGTTGTAGGGAAGAACTGTGGGGAAGAATCTAGAAGTGCTAGACGAGCCAGCGAGAAGGGAGATGTGGTAGGGAAGAACTTCTTGGGGGAAGAATCTTGAAGGTGGAAGGGAAAATTGACTACAGTGAACGTTATCTGTCTTCTCTTGACGCTGTGCAAATAAACAGCCAAGGTCTAGCAAATTTCGACTATAGTGAACGTTCTTTGCAGGTGGTTCCGGCAAACAGCACAGTTAAACTGCAACTTGACAGTCAAGATCGAAACAAACTAATAAGAGAGAAAAAACTGCCCAAGTTTGCTTAGGAATTCAGCGAACGACCCTGAAACTGTACTCATGCAACTAAAAACTCAAGGTTCCAAAAACTCAAGGTTCCAAAAACTCAAGGTTCCAATAAATTTCGAAAAAAAAGATGCAGTCACACTGCAACTTGACAGTCAACGTAAAAACGAACCAATCATTTTGACGGTGTGCCATGCCATCATCCGACGTGAAACACTGCAACTAAAAAGTCAAGCTCGTATAAAAAGCCACAACAGTAAATTTCTTTTGCCTCTCGTCTCAGCAAAAATGCATACGTTCTAATAGCTACAGAGAAGTACTCGCCTATTAATGCATCACTAATTTACTACATATCATACAACTATGGTATCCATAATAACCATTTGCTGTTGTTTTTCAACCAAACATTTTTATCATGTTGAGATTTGTAGAAAACCCATGGCATTGTTCTCGCTTATACAGTTCTCATCAAAATCCCCTGATTACTTCAAATCATGTTCACGCTCATATCCAATCTGAAAAACAATTGCACATAGCTTACCTTACCAAAGAAATATCTTACCTATTTATTTGCATGAGAGAATTGCTATTTCATTTCAGGATTCTATCAAGCTGCTACGCAACCCCAACGACGCATTGGCGTCGAGCCTTGTCTATCGTTCCACACAAGAGCACATGCCGGTTTGACACCAGGAAAAAACACAAATCTGTTCCCACCTGACACGTGGTTGGCTCCAGATCCGCACTTGATTCGCACTAGCTGCTGACCCGGCGTCGCCAGTGATTTCAGAACATGTCCTGCCAGAATGAGTGAATCGTTCGGAGACTCTGGGCAGAGTCACTCACGGCAGCCTTTCCACAGCACCTAGTTTCCTGCAGCTGGTTTTGGGAGTGTCACACTACCACTGATGGTGGTGCCAGAGTAGTTGATCCGATCTCTCCAGTTCTTCTCAATCATTCACTCCGTTGACCAACTCTCTGGATTTTTTGGAGGTCAACCATTCTCCGACCGGCTCTGTTTCCCCTGATATCGTTACCCCATCCAAGATTCCCACCGTCCGCGCTTCCCGCTACGTGTTTTACCAGGAGCGTTGCTCCCAGCAGGCTTCGAATATCCTTAGATTGACGGCGAGTGACGTGTCAACAGTACAGTGGCCAGCGTTTTCCACGTTGTAGTCGCTATCTGGATCGTGTTTCAGGCACCTCAATCCGCCTAATTGTCAGTATCCAGGCGACATGACATCCACCATTTCCTCGCTTCAAGCCAGCATGGGAGTTACCCGCGTTGCATCCGCGTTATGCACCTCACCGATATTTTCCTCCGTCCACGGTGGCCCTCGCTTTCTCGTCCGAGCGAACAGAACCCAGCCCGTTCGCAGTAACCAGAGTCCCGGACTGCGAAATTTCTCTCCGTTAAATCTTAACGAGTTCGTAGAAGGATCGTATCTGCGTCTCAGCAGCCGTAACACGCGACGGGAGAGCAGCAGGAGCTTCAGAGGCACCAGAAGCCAGACTACCATGGCCTCAAACAGTGCGGATTCCGAAGGTGAGGTTCAAGGGCAACTCATCATTGGGGTTGGGGGTCGCCTTTCCATTCAGCTATGCTGTATGGGCTCGGAAAATAGTGTTCAATACTGAAAATCAACATTCAGGCTGGACATGTAACATTTAAGGCTCGATCATTTGGCGTTTAAGTTGAATCTGATTCACATCTACGGTTGATATTTGGCATTCAGGCCTACGACTTGGCATGGTTGCTGATAAATGTTTTTCAGCATTGAGATTTTGTTTTATAATCAGAAACTGTCAATCGGGCTTGAATTTCTGTAGCCTTGAGTTTTGGCATGCAAATCCGAGGCTCTGTTTCCAAGCAGGCTACCACTCACGCTCTTAGTATCCTGAGTTGACTGAATGAAATCCACTCACGTTCTTTTTCCATCCGAACAGCCGCTACCACGATCGTGTGGTTCAAGCATGACCTGAGAGTCAACGACCATCCGGGCCTGCACGATCTCTCTGCTGCTGGCCCAACTGATTCAGCAGCCCTAGCAGCAGCAACAACGAGCCATGCTATTCCACTCTTCGTCTTCGATCCAGAAATTCTGTCAGGTAGGCGAGCAAGCGTTTGCAGTTGGTTTTTTGAGTTACGAATGATGAAGTTTGAAGTTGCCTCCTTCAATTACTGAGGGGCTTGTGTCTGCAAATTGTCTTCCACACACGTTCCTTGACAATGTGATTGTACCTAAAATCCGTGAAGATTTGAACTCTTTTCAGCCCATTGCTCACTACTCAAGCCCTCACTCATGCCTCTTCCCTTCCCACTCTCTCCCCTCCCCCAGCACTCCCAGCCAGTCACTTACCTCTGCTCCTCTCAGCTGCCTCCTCCCTGCGCTCCTCTCTTCGCTCCCTTGGCTCTGACCTCGTTGTCACTCGAGGCGACTCCTCTACTGCCATAGCTAAACTATGCAAGCAGGTATACAAGTTTTCGGCATCATAGTAATATTATTCTGCTCCGTCCAGCCAAAACCTCCCTGCGCTCCCCTCTCCGCTCCCTCGGCTCTGGCCTCGTTGTCACTCAAGGCGAATCCTCCACTGCCATAGCCAGGCGTGCAAGCAGGAACTGCCGCATGCAGCCTTCCTGTCTGCATGAGCTGTCTCGTTACAGCCCCGTTCAATCTGCAGGTCAAGCCGACGTCTCCTTTAACCTGACAGTCATTGTCCGCCGGCATCCTCACCCTCTTTTTCCCACCCGCCCACCACTCCCACCGCCCCACCTCCCCCACCTCCCGCTGTTTTTCCCACTTCCCCTTGACTTCCCCTTCCCTCTTCCCTCCCATACGACACCCTTTGCTGCTTCCCCCCCTTGGCACGACTCAGGTTCCTTCTGTCCGCACTGTAGCTGCAGAGGAGGAAGTGGAAACCTGCTGGAAGCTTCCGCTTGAGCAGGTCGAGTCAGCCGTGCATGAACTGGGAGAGAAGGGCCAGGACAGCCGCAGGAGGGAGAGCAGAAGGAGAGGAGGATTCGGCTGGACACATGGCGAGCTGCCTTGCACAATCTCCAGGTGAGAATGGTGAGAATGGTGCCATTCCAGGTCACTCCTTCCACGGACCAAGGCCTCTCCTCTCGCTGGCATTCCCCAGCTTCAAGCAGCCTTTGGTTTTAGAGGCACCTGACGCTTTGTCGTTATGCCCCGTACTCCTTCCACTGCTCCATTCCTGGTGACCCCTTCCACCACCGAGCCCTCTCTCTCCTGCCGGCATTCCGCCAGCTTCAAGCAGCAGAGGGGCCAGCCTTGCCCCCAGTTTCAGGGGCACCCAGTGTCTCGTCTCGTCACCTATGCCGCTTCCTCCCTCCTCCCCCCTCTTTCTCGACCCCCCCCACCGCCAGGATCCCCTCCATTAGAATCCGCTAGTTTCAAGCAGCAGAGGGTCCAGCCTTGCCTCCGGTTTTGGGATTCACCCAGTGTCTCGTCATTCTGCCCCTACCTCTCTCCTCCGCCCCTTTCTTGACCCATTTCAACACCAGGACCCTCTCCCCTTGGAATTCACCAGTTTCAAGCAGCAGAGGGGCCAGCCTTGCTCTCCTCTGCCTCCTCCCTCCACGCTTCCCCCTCTACCTGCTGGCATCGAATCGGGTGAGCGGCACTAAATGTTAGAGATAGGCTGCAATTCGGTTAACACAACTTTGTGTGTTGGCACTTTGTTGGTTTTAGGGATACACAAATTTGTTAGGTTGGGTGTAGCTATGTTTTCATCCCCAACCTATCCCAACCCAATCCATCCCAAATCCCCACGATTTGGGAGGATTCCCTTGGGATTCCCTTCGATTCTCCCTTATCCCTTGCCATCCTCTCCGATGCTCGGTACTTAAGGATGTATGCTCTTGCTCATTTTAATCAATCAAGTTCTCAGTTTCTGATACTAAATCTGTCCCTGGACCCCCACACGACTCCAAATCTCCACCCTCCCTTCTCCACCCACCGTCCACAACCCCCCCCCCCCCTCTCCTTCGAGCGGTCCTCTCCCGCTCCCCACCCCCCCTCCCCCTCCCCTCCCGCTTTCTCCATTCGACCATAAGTGAATTTGGTGGGTGGATTACGAAAGTGAACCATCCGGTAGGCAAAGTTATCAACTGGTGAGGTCTATTCTCCTTTTTTTTCAGCTCAACAACTAGTATTTCACGTTACGTTCATTAAAGATGTTCTTACTGCTCTTTTTCTCCCCCCTCCCCCCCTCTCTCTCCTCTTTCTCCTCTCCTCTCTTTTCTTTCTCCCATCGCTGCTTTCCCCTCACTCGCAGGAGACCTGCCTTCATTAGAAGAGCTCTTCTCTCTGGCAGGGAAGGAGGTGGAGGGAACAAAC